CTGCAGGTTGCTGGAGGCATTCCTCCCAGTGGGATTCTGAGACCTCAGTCCATCTTCTCTTTTTGTTCATGGATCATGACAAAAGTGGCCAGTGTGGTAGTGCATGCCTTTAGTTCCAGCACCTGAGAGGCAGAGGTAGATGGATCTCTGTGAGAACAAGGCCAGCCTGGTCTACATAGTGGGTTGCAGGTCAGCTGGGACTACAGGAAGCCCCTACCTATAAGTAAGTAAGTAAATAAATAAATAAATAAATAAATAAATAAATAAATATCCAGTCTTCCACTTTTTTCTTCTAGTGGTGTGACTTTTGGGGAAATTACTTAACATCTTTGGATATGAAAAGCATCATCCTGGGCTGGAGAGATGGCTCAGCATTAAGAGCACATACTGCTCTTGCAAAGGACTGAGTGTGGTTCTAAGTACCCACTTTGGGTGGCTCACACTCTCTTGAAACTTCAGCTCCAGGGGACCTGATGTTGCCCTCTTCTGGCCTCCATGGGTACTGCACTCACATGCACAAACCCACCCTGGACACTATAAATAATTAAAAATAATAATAAATTCTGGAACCTGGCATAGTACAGCATGCCTTTAATCCCAGGATTTGGGTGGCAGAGACAGTTGGATCTCTGTGAATTTGAGGCCAGCCTGGCTTACAGCCTGGCTTACACAGTGAGTTCCAGGTCAACCCGGGCTATATAGTGGTGAGACCCTGTCTTAAAATAATAATAATAAATCTTTTAAAAAACCAAATACATCATCTATAAAAAGTAAAAAGTATAGATTAGCACGGTGGTGGGCACATGCCCAATCCCATTACTCAAGAAGCAGAGGCAAGAGGATAGGTATAAGTTTGAGGCCAACCTGGACTATACACAGTGAGTTCCAGGCTAGCCAAAGCTATATGGTAAGACCCTGCTTTAGAAAAAGAAAAAATGTATAGATCAGAGCATCTAATTTGAGGGCTCTCATGAAACTGTAATCTATAATGAGGAAAGGGACTCACTACTTTGTGCTTGGTTTTGTGAAACAGAAAGAAATCTAGACTCAGAGAGAGATTTTAATCAGAATGACTACTGGAAATGAGGAGAAAAGTCCAAGTTTTCAGAAATCTGCAAGTGGCTGAAAAATCAAAGAGAAAAGACAAAGTGGATAGTTAAGATGTGAGCAGCAAGTGGGAACATTTGGCCAGTTTTTACCAATGGAAAGCATGTAGTGCTTAGCACAAGACTGGTAGTTCACGAGAACATAGATCATCCATGGGAGTGGAGAGACCACTCAGCAGTTAAGAGTATTGACAGCTCTTGTAGAGGATCTGGGTTCAGTTCCCAGCATCCATATGGTGGCTAACAATTATTTATAATTCCAGTTCCAGGGAGTCCAACTCTCTCTTCTGGCCTCCACAGGCACTGCACAGACAGGTATACAACATGCAGGCAAAAGACTCATACACATAAAATTTAAAAAACAAATAAAAATTAAAAAGAGATGCCAAGTGTGGTGGTGCACATCTTTAATCCCAGCACTTGGGAGGCAGAGGCAGGCAGATCTCTGTGAGTTCAAGGCCAGCCTGATCTACACAATGAATTCCAGGCCAGCTGGGGCTACAGGTAGATCCTGTCTCAAAAAGACAAAAAAATAAAAATAAAATAAAAATAAAAAATAAAAGGAGAACACAGATGATTCTGGAGGCTGAAGAATTAATTCACAGCGCATTGATGAAATGGCCAAGAACATACATTTTGCAAGCAGACAATATAAATATCTCCCCACCTGTTGCTAGGGAAAGAAAGAGAAACATCCCTGGAAAGGGGGACATGAGAAAGGGAAAAGAGAAGTAAAAGTCCCTACATTTAATCTATCTTCAGGTCCTGAACCTTAACCACGCTCTCACTCCATCCCTCAACTGGGCTCCACTCCACAAGAGGTGAAGTTTATTGAATTTGCAAATCACCACCACAGAAAGTCTTCCACTTTCTACTTTCGGAACGCACACCTCAGAGAATCAGGTAGGCCATGAGCTTCCCATCCACCACAAAAAGTTGAGCAGAAACTCAAGTGTTTGATGGATGTTTGAACATGAACCGGTCAAGTCACCTCAAGCTCTCAGTCTATATGTACACTTCCCTTGGTGTGGCCAAGCTGTGAAATGCTGGACTTTCAGGGGTCAACTGGACAAGCTCCAGCATTCATATTTAGGAAGGGAAATTGCTTACAAAGAGCAAAACACAATCACTGCCACATTTTGCAGAAACATCCCTGGAAAGGGGGACATGAGAAAGGGAAAAGAGAAGTAAAAGTCCCTACATTTAATCTATCTTCAGGTCCTGAACCTTAACCACGCTCTCACTCCATCCCTCAACTGGGCTCCACTCCACAAGAGGTGAAGTTTATTGAATTTGCAAATCACCACCACAGAAAGTCTTCCACTTTCTACTTTCGGAACGCACACCTCAGAGAATCAGGTAGGCCATGAGCTTCCATCCACCACAAAAAGTTGAGCAGAAACTCAAGTGTTTGATGGATGTTTGAACATGAACCGGTCAAGTCACCTCAAGCTCTCAGTCTATATGTACACTTCCCTTGGTGTGGCCAAGCTGTGAAATGCTGGACTTTCAGGGGTCAACTGGACAAGCTCCAGCATTCATATTTAGGAAGGGAAATTGCTTACAAAGAGCAAAACACAATCACTGCCACATTTTGCAAATACAGTCAACATATTTTGAGCCCCACTGGGATGCTACTGCGGTCAGTGAGAATTCACAGATTAACCAAGTCAAGTTTCCTCCCCTTTTAGGAAAACCTCAAATTCCGGGAAACCGGGTAGGAACAGAAACTTAAAAGCGCCAGCACCTCTCAAGTGGCAAGTGTTCAGGGTGCTTGCGGTTAGCACAGAGGGGTCTGATGGGCTGAATGACAGCAAGCCTCAGAACAAGATGGGGGGGGCGGTCTTCTAAAAGGGGCTCCTCTCGCCTGTCAGTTCTGAAGACATCTACCCAGCAGGGTAAGATGCAGACCTACCGACGCCCCTAGCAGGTCCACAGTCCCAGAACCCGCTGCTTCCCAGGGGTCCCAGCCCTCCCCCACAACGGGGTGGCCCACCTGCAACGCCCCCATCGCGGGTTCTCCCCTGGGGCGCGCGTCCCAGCAGCGAGCCCCTTCCGCGGGCCTCCCCTCGGTGCCGCCCTCCTCCCGCTGCCGCCTGGGGTCCTCCCCTCTGGCCTGGGATCCCCACTCGGCAGCGGGTGCTGGGGTGAGTCTCCGCCCCCGCCCCTCAGCCCCGCTACCTTGGAAGCTCTGGAGGAGTTTGAGCTCTCCGAAGCCGCTCTTCTCTAAGAAGGCGCGCACCTGCTCCGGGCCCCAGGTGCGGTAGTCGGGGTGCAGTTCCGGGCCCGGAGACGCGACCCCCGCTGCAGGAGGGGTGCTCGGTGGGGTCCTCTGGCTGCCATCGCAGCGAGGCCGCTTCGCCGGCTGCTCCAAGTCGCCTCTCGGCATGGCCACCACGGACTTTCGGCACAGCAGACTCAAGAACCTCGGCGCCCTGCTCGCGCGCAGGCGCACTGACAGCCAAGGCCTGGGGGTGAGGCCATTCAGCGTTGCCTACCCTGGGGCCTACTGCGCAGGCGCGCTGGGCGTCCCCCTCTAGGATCAGGCCGCCCTGGGGCGCTAGCGCCCCGCTCTCTGCGCAGGCGCAGTGGCTGTGCAGTCGTCAGCCCGGTCCCCTACGTCTCCCCATGAGGGCGGAGTTATTGGAGAAGCAAAACTAGGGACTGAGGGTGATAGTGGAGGAACGAGTACCCGGTGGGGAAAGAGCGCCCTTGAGGCTGATGAAAGCCCCACCGCACTCCAGATTAGGGAGTCTTTTGATGAACAGTAGGTACTTTGCTCTAAACACCGCTGGGGTTCAGACACCCCAAACTTACAAGAAACCTAAAAGCCAATTAGGCTGCCAGGACTTCCCAATGACTAGAACGATGTGCAGCGACTGGCCGAACTGGAAGACCCTGAAATGATTTCGAGCCTGTTGTCAGGCTGTCTTTTTGCATTTCACAATTTCGCAGAATTACTGGGCAGCCGAGGACCCTAAAGATGCGTATTTTTAGGTTTCCACACAAAAGCAGATATCAAACTTCTTTCCAAATGGAGACAGATCTCTCCATCCCAGTTATTTTCTTACAGGAAGGAAAAGGGCCAATCTGATTTCTTAACATGGACCAGCTAGGATTTTCACTAACTGGTACTTAACAGCCTTTCCAAATGGCCGTCATTTCTTTTACTTTAACCCACTTTGGGGCAGGGTCCAAACTTCACCATAAATCCTGATTTATGTAGTACCAGTAAAAGGACTACAGAAAGGCATAAGGATGCAGATTAGTTTTACCATTAAGCAGAGGTAACTAAGACTTTTAGTCGAACAACTGGAGATGCAGCTCAGGCCCGAGGCCTTGTGTTCAATCCCCCCCCCCCCCCCCTTTCAACCCCCCCCCCCCCGCCCCGTCAAAAGAAAGCAAAAACATTAAGTTGGCAAACCGAAGTATTCTTATATTCTTAGTAAACAGCTCTATTGTGTACTGGGCACTGTTCTAAAGGCTTTACAAATAACTAATTCATTTCATTACTACCACAACTTGGGATGTAGGACAGTGAAATACAAAGATGGGAATCGGAGGGAGGGAGTGGAAGAACTAAGAAATGATGACTGAGTTCACACCCAAGAAATATATATATCCTGCTTCCAGAGTCCATGCTTTCAGAAACTTGCCAGTCATTGCTTGTTCTTATTTATTTACTGAAACAGAGACTCACTGTGTAGCCCAGGTTGGCCTAGAATTTGCTAGGTAGCCCAGCCTGGCCTTGAATTCAGAACCTTCCTGTCTCAGCCTCCTAAGTGCTGACATTACAAGCACGAGCCACCACCTTCAACTTCATGGTTTGTTTTTTAAGGAACTTTATATTACATATATGTGGGGGGGGGGTATGTGCATGTGCCATGATTCATGGCACAGATATAACATGACATCAGATATAACAACTTTCAGGAGTCTGTTCTCTCCTACCATGTGGGTTCAGGGATCAAATGCAGATTTATCAGGCTTGGCAGCAATGAGCCATCTCACTGCCTTTCTTTTTGACATAGGTTGTTTTTGCTTTTGTATTCCAGGCTAGTCTCAAATTCACTGTGTAGCTGAAGATGACTAAACTTCTAATACTCCCAAGAGTTGGGATTACAGGTGTGTCCAACCACACTGGTTTCTGTGGTGCTAATGTTAGGGAAAGAGGAATTTACTGCTTGTTTGAATATACTGCTTGTCTGAATTTACTGCCTGAATTTACTTGTTTAAATTTACTGCTTGTAACCAATTAACTCAACTGGAGACACAGGCATCCGGAGATAGGGGCAAGCGCTACAGCCCCCCCCCGGAGCCTGACCTGATCTGTGTCATGTCACGTAGACATGTCTGCTTACACAAGATAACAGGAAAGAGTCGTGCCAGGCACAATACCACCCATCCCTCCCCAATTGAGACACCTGAAGGGAGTTGTAACATTTTTTGTTATTGGTTTGTGAAATGCTTGCTTTGAAACTATTGGCTGTATAAACGCAGGCTTTTGTGTAACGGTTGTGGAAGGGCTTTTGTGTAATGGTTGTGGGAGCCTATATAATCTTTACCTAAAATTGCCTCAGGGTTGATCGCTCTAACCAGACCTGCGTGTCTTGGAAGGACGGTCAGCCCCAGTTAGCTGGTTTAATAAAACTCTGCTTGATTTTTGCATCTCCATACTCGTGCATTGTTCTCCAGAAGAGACCCACCGAGTCACGGACCCTAACACTAGAGATTAAATTCATGCGTTCTGGGCAGGCACTCTACCAACTGAATTACATCCCTGGCACATTTTTTTTTTCTTTTTCAACAGGGATTTTAACTTAAAATTATGTTCTCTTAGTTAACCCAATATTTTCAATTGCTCGCTGTTCCCACAGACCAGAGAGGGAAGTATGGGAAAGATCCCATTTGAACAAGAAACCAGACCCAGAAAAATATGTCCTGTTCTGGCACCAGAGTATTTGATGAAAACACCTCACAATTACCAAGGCTTCCGAAACTGAAACAAGAGGGCAGAAGAGACAACACATAGCATATGTCTGAAAAACATATTTTAAGTCAGAAATGACTGATTTGAAATATTGTGTTTATGACATTTGTGGGAAAGTCCCCGGGGACCAGGTTTCTTAGGAAACAAAGTGATACAAACAGGGTTTTAAGTTTAACAATTGGATTTGTTTAAAATTTTGCTTTTCAAAATTTTTTCTTTCTTTCTTTTATTTTTTTTCTTGTTAAAAAGTATAACTTTGCAAGCCGGGCATGGTGGCGCACACCTTTAATCCCAGCACTTGGGAGGCAGAGGCAGGTGAACTCTGTGAGTTCAAGGCCAGCCTGGTCTACATAGTGAGTTCCAGGACAGCTGGGGCTACAGGGAGACCCCGTCTCAAAAAGACCAAAAAAAAAAAAAAAAAAAAAAAAAAAAAAAAAAAAAAAAAAAAAAAGGTATAACTTTGGAAAGGGCCAGGCATGGTGGTGCATGCCCTTAATTCTGGCACTCGGGAGGCAGAGGCAGGTGAATCTTTCTGAGATCCAGGCCAGCCTGGACTATATGAGTTCCAGGTCAGCTGGGGCTACAGGGACATCCTGTCTCAAAGCTGATCACTGCTGGGTGAGGGAGAGTTCATCTTCTCTAAGGAAGTGACCATAGACAGGCTGAACAGGCTCCAGTGGATGAGCTCACACCGAGGGACATCTGGGTACACAAACTTCATTCGATAGGCCCTAACATATGAAAGAATTCATGAAATCCTGTGGGCAGACTATGGGGGTGGGGGTGGAGATCAGGGAGGGTATCTCAATATGATTAAGATGTATTATATGGAGATCCTAGCAGGCAACCTGTAACGGTGGGTTCGGACCTCCATCGGGGTAGTGGCTTGGAGCTCAGCAGACCTCCAGAGAGTCCTGGGTTCTGGCATCCCTCTGGCCTCCAACTAACAGAGGGCCTGAAAACCCAGGGGACTGCCTGACAGCCCCCGGATCTTGCCTCCACATGGTGGTCCTGTTCAGGGTCCAACACTCTCTTTCAGTCCTTTTAATAAGATGATTCTATACAGCAGTCCCTTCTGCATGAAATAACAACCATCATCACGACTTCCGCTGAGCCTGATCTCTAAACATAGTCACAATTGGGCTTGTTGACAGTTGTACTCATTCATTAAAGGAGAGCCAAGCAGGGTCACTGGACCCTCATCTGAGTATCCAGGCCACTCTTCCCAGCCAACTAGTCCAGCCTTGGAAAAAAAAGGAAAAATGAGGAAGAACCCAATTGAGCAATGCTTTTGGAAGCTCTTGTTAGGAAACTCCAATGGACTCTCATATGAACATTGGGAAAGTGCCCTGTTAGTTTTTCTAGTTCCCTGTCTAGAACTTGTAATGCTAATTACTCTTGCCTTTACTTCTCCTTCACATCTCCTACTCATGATTCAAGGACTTTCTCCTCCCCTTAGGGACAAGAGTTATACAATTTGGGAGTCTTTTAGATAGACCCACTGAAGGGGTACTCCAATTGCCTCACCCTGCGTCCCTGTTCAGCATGGAAGAAACCAGAAGTCTGCATCCCGATTCCCTATTGGCCATTTGGGTAACCCCTTCAGAGACTGGTGTGATAAGAATAGGAGGTAGGAATTGGCTAGACAGTTAGGGTAAAAAGACCCCAAAGAAATTTGGCCAGTTTCTTGGCTAAAAGTCAAAATGTCCTTGGGCCTGTTAGCAACATACTCTGTTTCAAAGGCCAAAAATGTCAAAAGTATTTGGGAGCTTGTATCTAATCCTTAAAAGAGTTAGGGTTACCTCTTCAGAGGGGTCAATGTTGGAGGGGAAGGAGTGTGCATGGATTTGATCAAAACACCTTATATGCATGTAGGAAATTCTCAATAAAGTTTTTGTAAAAGTTAAAAAAAATACATGTATGAATAAATGAATATAAGGAAAAAAGGTGTATTGTGCCGGGTGTGGTGGCACATGCCTTTAATCCCAGCACTCGGGAGGCAGAGGCAGGCAGATCTCTTGAGTTCAAGGCCAGCCTGGTCTACATAGTGAGTTCCAGAACAGCTGGGGCTACAGGGAGACCCTGTCTCAAAAAGAAAAAAAAAAAAACAAAACAAACAAACAAACAAACAAAAAGATGTATTGTATAAGGGCTGGACAGTTGGATCAGTGGCTAAAAGCACTGACTGCTCTTGCAGAGGATCCAAGTTCTATTCCCAGCACCCATATGGTGGCTAACAACCATCCTAACTCCAGTTCCAGGGGATCTGACACCCTCTTCTGACCTCTGTGGCATTGCACAACACCAGGGCATTTACACACATGCAGGCAATACACTCATACACATAATTTTTTTTTTAATTTTATATGTGTGTATTCCTGTGTGCTGGATAGCTTTAGTGTCAACTTGACATACCTGGGTTGAGGGAGCCTCAATTGGGGAATTGCCTTCATTGGACTGGCCTGTGGCCATGTCCATGGGGTACCTTCTTGATTGTTGAGTGATAT